TAACAACGCACTGCTTGTCTCATAAAGATTAGTGCAGTACTCTTGGTGTATATTATACCATTTTATAGGTTTAAATTTGAAAAACGAGACCAATTCTATAAGCTAAGTGGACATTTTTCTTCAAATGTTACTAATTCGTAAAATGTTAAGTTACTTAAAAGCAAAAAACTTACCACGGTGTAATGGCCATTGTAGCTAGAAGGACACCCCATTTTCTTCATTCATTAGTCACTCAAGTCGCTGCAAAAGAAAATGCTATTAGACTTCTTGGATTCTGGTTTTACTTTTATAAAAATTTCGGAAGGTATTTACAATTGGGGCACATTTTTTACAATAGTACCCTTTACTGTTATTATCCCTATCAACTGATCAACAGTTAGAGTTTTTGATGCAGGGTGCAGAGCTGTCTCGTGCGGACCAGTTTAATAGTAGGTATAAAGTATATCGCTTTTTTAAAGCTTTGCAGTACCTTTACAAACACCAACCGCCCCTTCTACCTATATAATTTCAATTTCAAGTGCAATAAAGGGAAAGGATTAATTAAGGATACCTGGAAGAGTATTAGAAAGAAAGAATGAAAAGAAATATAACAAAAAGCTAAAACGCTTCGCTAAGTAGTGGTTCTTTGGCACCAACACGGGAAAACTTATTCCAAGAGCAAAGCAGTTAATGCAAACGAGAACTTTTCCTGTAAATTGTTTGCTCAATAAGTTGGTTTCCTTTACGTTAACGGCGTCAACTGGAGTATAAAAGCATCAGCTCGGCTTTCCAAAGAAACTGCAGCTTAAAACGCTCCTGACGACTCAACAACAGGCAAAGAATTCTTCAACTTGTTACAAAGTTTTTAACGTTGAACTCGCTTCATTGTTTTCAAATAACTTGACTTTTACAGGTAATCCGAAGCAACAACTTTAAACCATTTCGCAATTTTTATTAACATATCTTTATTAAGGACTACTCAATAGGACAGTATGACAAATCTTGTTTTCCACATTGCTTACTGGGCTAAAGCCCAGGTACCAGGGACCGCAAGCACAATAATGCTTTAGGAAAAATTATCCGTAGATGTCTGGTAGCTTAAACCCGCCATTTTTAATAACTCTTTGTCGCTATAACGCTCAATGAGGAACTTCGTTCCAAAAATTAAAAAATAATTGCTATCAAATCCTGCTTATTTTTATATCCCTGCTACTACTTTCGTCTTGACTTAACTGATTTCCTAGATACCTAAAATCAGCCACTTCTTCTAATTTTTCGTTTCCTATCTTTATATTCGCTTTTTCCCTACTTTTTCTTCCCGTGCATACCAGTATTTTTGTTTTAATTTTATTTATTTCCATACTGTACTGTTTTGTCAATACCGCTTCCATTTTATTCAAAGTTGTCTCTAACTCTTCCTTGCTAGATGCTAATACTGCTATATCATCTGCAAATCTAAGCATACTAATCTTTTGCCCCTCTATATCTACCCCTGCAGTTGTACTGTCTTTAATAATGTTGATCGCGTCTTCGACGTACAGATTAAAAAGTAGCGGTGACAGTATGCATCCCTTCCTAATATTTACTTCTCTACGTTGCAGCCCTAGCTCTATAACTGCCTGTTGCTCTTTATACAAACTAAGTATCACTCATCTATCTGTATAACTCATCCCTACATTGCTTAAATATATTTAACATCTTGTCCCATTTAACATTGCCAAAAGCTTTTTCTAAATCTACAAATCCTATGTACGCGCTCTTTCCTTTTTCTATCGTTTTCTCTATTATTACCCTCGCGCGTTCCTCTATTTCTTCTAAACCCAAATTGACCTTCCCCTAATAGTTCTTCCGCCCTTTTTTCCCATCGTCCTGTGTACAATTCTAGTTAAGACAGGTAGATACTTACAAAACCTTTTTTTAATTATCAAGATCGTAGAAAATAAGACTGTTACGTAAACAGTACGAGTTATTTTGTTTGAACAAAGTTTATGGCAAGCACCTTGAATTAGCAAAACTGTAACTGACAAGGCAGTAACAATATTGTTCACTTGATATTATTTATGCTATGCATAAGACAAGTTACGCGTAATCCGTAAAAACAATTTTAATTCTTGACATTATTCTCGCTTTTCAAATTAAACTGAATCCGAACATGTTAGCGAATAAAATGCCAAGTTGCATAATTGACATAACACGCTAAACTGCAAACTCTAATTAAAAGTTTTCTTTTCAGGAATATAGACAATTGAATAATGTTCGCTACTCATTTAATTATAATTTTCACAATTTTACGCATAAAATTTCAAGTGTGTGTAAAATGATTTACGGTTTTTACGCAAGGTCGTTTTATAGCATTATCATTTATAAAACATCGTTAACAAATTAACAAGGTTTCTATAATGATAAGATAATAAAATACTTCAATACCGTTTTGATGATAATATAATGCGTAATAATAATACCCATTATTTTAAATATGCGATATGAATAATATAAAATAGAAATACTTATATATAGCAAATATAAAAATGGTTTTTGTCTTACAGCGACTCGATTTATTACTTTTTTCGTAAATGTACGGAACCCTAGTAATTTAATGTTAGCACTAATGGCGTAACAAGAGGGTGGCAGAGAACAGACAAAATGCCGCGAGCCCCCGGCCTGAGGAGGCCCCTGATCCCAGGGAACGTCGGGGAACAGGAGGAACCCAGCATTTATTACAAAAGTTGGTAAAAAATATTAATTTTATATTTAATCAATGTATGTTAAGAATTAATTCGAGAACATACACGACTTAAACAAATAAATTATAAAGATATGGACAATCAGATCGATTTTCCTTGGGCTTTAGATGTTATAGTCACGTCTTTGGTTAACACTTAACATATATGCACCCAATTTATTATGCTAATTAATTAAAATTCGTTCTTTTGACAAGTTGAAAGGGTAAACATTGAAAAAACCAAAATAACTTTTTCAAAACACGTCTCGAAGTCATTCATCATCGTTTGTTTTTACAAACCGGTCGATTCATTCGCACATTTGCAAACAACAGCATCTGTCTGTTTTTTTTAATCGCAAGTTTTTCTCATAATACACACGCGATTGTATTTTCACGTTTGCACAAAGCCAATCGATTCTAAATGCAAATAATGTTGCGGAAGGTAATTTATCTATCCATACCTACACTTCCGGTCCTATTTTTAAGTTACAAACGTTTTATTAGAAAGGAGGTAGGTAGGTATTTGAATTGAAAGGAATAAGTCAATTAGAAATAAAAACAGGGGTCAATTGCTGCCTAGTAATTAAAATCTAATTCTGGTCTCGAAGCAGTTCGATTTTACGTTTGTTATTGTTAGTCCTATCGGAGAATTAATATTATTAAAACTGCCTACCTGTTCGTTCCTTTTTCAAAATTTCTTTTTCTATCAAATGATAACACAAATAAGAAGTGTAGACGAGATAAAAACAAAAAAAAAGAATTCATGAACGTCTTGACAGCGAAGCATTAATGAATGAGGGAACTCAATTATACTTTTAACTTTAAAAAATTAAGCAATGTAGTAACGACCATAGTTAAGTGGTTTAGTTTTTGATTTTCTTAATATTCTAATTTAGCATCATGATGATAAAGCTTCACAAAACAATCTTTATACCTATTAATAAACTCGTAATGGATAATGTAGCAATAAGGGTTTAGGTATTTCACCCTTATTTCTGATGTGATGGATGTGCTTTGTGATACTATACTAGAAGTCTAGAAGCTTCTTAATAGCAGCATACATATCTAATTGATTAATTAAAAGTAGTTTAAGTGCATGTTAATGACAAAAGTATAGGTACATGTACAAGTACAAAAATAACGAAAGGTGAATAATTACCTCAAAAAAACATAAAAATAATGTAGCTTTTTCTTTTACCGTGTACATAGAAAATATCATTTTATTTTAATAGCCTGAATTCTAAATACCATTACTTTTTGGCCACTATTGAAAGTGAGGTTAACTTGTAAATTATAATGAATAATACGCACCATTTATTTTACTGTTGTTATCGATAAATTAAGATTAGCTCGCTTAGTTTAATTGAAATAAAATAGCTTTTTTAATTACTTAACAAAATTAAGGATAAATGACTTACCAAATGCATTTTTATCGCAGTAGTTACTATATGCGACCTCTGTCAGAGATTGCCTGCATTGATAAAAGAGTAGCAGGTAAAGTGTATTACCTGCTACTTTTTTATCAATTCCTACATTCTTTTAATATTTCAAAATAAGATTTAATTTAACTTAATTTAATTAAAATGAAACAGCTTTCTTAATTACTTAACAAAATTAAGAGTAAATAATTTACAAATGCATTTTTATCGCAATAGTAACTATGTGCGACATCTATCAGAAATTGTGTGCATTAAGTTCAACTTGCTACTGTTTTATCAATTCCTACATTGTTTTAATACTTGAAAATAGGTTTTAACTTCAATTTTAATATTTAAATTTTAAATTCTGTTAATTTAAATTATAAATAAAATAAGTAATATTTAGCTATTTCTTTTTTTTGTTATGTATCAAGATAAATTAAATAATCATAACCTTAACGTCTGGACTTCAAAATGCCTATTATATAAGAAAAAACTGTCGCTTCTAATTATTTAAACAAACATTTAGTATTGCTTAAACTTACCAATAGCTACGTAGTCTTATAATTGTATTCATTTGTTTTTGCACAAAATTATACAATTATTAGTAAAGAGCACAAAACAATGAAACACCATTAAATGTTTCATAGACCACCTGATCTTTAAATTGTGTTGCATTTATTATTCCTACTAGATTAAAGGGGGTTTGTTCTTTTTTTAAAAAACAATACAGCAACAAGAGAAATATAATTATAAAAGGAAAGTTATTTAAAATTTTGAAAGACAACAAAAAGTAGAAAAAAAGAGTGATGCTTCTTTATATTAATCGGTGTATGCTTCTTAATACCTACTTATTAGACAGGGCATTTCTTAAAAAAATGTTATTTTAAAACGAGTATATTGTAATAACGATAACATACAAATGTACAAAGACTAGAGTGGCAAACTATTAAACAATAATGATTGAAAAGATTGTCTCGTAAAGTCATCAAATAGTAATGATTTCAAATGTGAAAATGAAACATCCAGTATATTTCTCTCGTTTTTCTTTTTTCTTTTTAATGTACGAATATAAACGTTTATCGAATGATCGATCGAAAAAATCTATACCTACTTTTGTATAGTATGATGTAGATTTATTTATAAAAGTATAAAGCTGGTTGTACGTTTTATGTATGTTTGTATATAAAAAAGGCACTTGCTTCCTAGCTTATGTAAGGCACAAAGAATATGATTTTGAATGCTTAATTAATTTCTATCGACTTGTTTTGTTCTAAAGGAAGACAAAAATAAAATCGTTTCTATAATTACGAAAAAAAATTTAGTTTTTAAAAATGAATTTCAAAAATCCCACTGAAATGAAATAACGAAAACTAATGAAATACTTCTTAAAGCATGTTGGAATTATTCATGGAATAAGAGTCCCCTTTTTCATTAATTAAAATTGAATACGATATTTACTTGAAGTCGAATCGGTAGAAGACTTACTGTCCCTTCCCAACGAAGCCCCTCTTCTAACCGGGGTTCCACCGAACAGCCTTATTTTTGATGGTGTAGGAAGGGAACTAGCAGAATTGTCACTCAAAGTCGAAGCAGAATCTCTTTCACCAGCAGATCCTGCACGAGGCCTCGGGGGAACTTTCCTCAGTGAAGAACTGGAACCCCCACTCTCGGATAATCTTCCGTACTCCCCCAATTTCCTAGGTGGGGGTATAAGCGAACGGGCGGGTGAGGCACGTCTACTACTGGTATTGGAACTCAAAGAGTCTCCTCCATCTGACTTCTTACGAACCATTTCGGAATCTGGAAGGCGATTATAATCTCCCACTCGTCTTGGTAATCCTGTACGGTGGGAAGAAGGTCTGGGAGGTCTAGGCAACGAGCTAGGTGGTAAATTATCGGGAGTGTGGGCAGTGGCACTGTTCTGTGTAGGTGTTGTGGGCACCTCTGGCGAGTCCTGCATGCGCTGTTGTTGTGACGTACGGCCCTGTTTTTCGAGTAGTAACATGTCGCCCGCCTCGTGTCGAGGGGATGGCTGCAAGAGGAACGTGCCCGAATCGAACAGGCCACTGCCATTCGAACTCACACTCGCCAGTAGTGGCTTGGGAATTTTTCCTTTTCTCTGCGCAGTGACTGGATTATTGAATCCTGGAAAACAGCAAAGACCCCGCTGAAAATGAGAAGATAACGCAAAGTTTGGACGTGTCCGGACCTGGAGAGAGTAGGTTAGTCACGGCACGCCACTTCACGCAGAAATAATAAACATGCAACAAGCGAAAGACTGCCAGTTATGTAGGTTGCAAAAAAAAAGTAAAACTTTTTTCAATTTAAAGTATTTCATGATAGAAAATTGAACTGAGATGCAAAATAGATATCAACTTCCTAGGAAGAAAATCAACGACGGTATATTATCGTTACTTACCTTATCAGGTACATTATATATATAATTAAAAATAGACTTAAACACCAAAATATTTCGCGAAATTTTTTTTAAAGTTTCGAACTTATTAAATGTTAAGATACTATTGCAGTGAGTCAAATTGCCCAACCACATGAACACCATAAGTTATCACATCATTTTCCTTTTTCTGATTTACAAATGAAATACCTTTAAATGTTGCATGTCATGCATCAGGAGGGGTAGTGGGACAAAAAACCGTAGCATAAAAAATTAGATACTTTATTGATAGCATGCTTAGGTATATAACAAGGAACACCAAACAAACATGCAAATGATTTTTTTACAATGAAACAATGCCACAGAATGACATGGATTCGAAGATGCGCTATGTGATTTTTTTTCCAACTACTTTTCCTCTTATTCTTTTAATATATTTGTACAATGAGAAGCACTTGAATCCAAGCCACTCTCTCAATGTGCACATAAATAAATTAGAATTATTGTGAGTATGCACAATATTAACACTGATACTGTTAGAACTCTCTAAATTAAAAAAAAAAAAAAATGAAATAATTCATAGCCAAAATTTGATAAAATATTATTTAGTTTTTACCAATCAAAGGGAAATAACATGAAAACTAAATAAAGAACATTTTTAGAGGGTATAAATAATAAATGGGGTTGAGAATTTGTAAGAAGAGACCAAGGTGTAATGTTTTAATAAATTAATACAAGAAATTTTTGCTGTTTTTTATAATTCCTTAATTTATTACAACATTAAACTTTGTTTTTTTTTTATAACATATACTTAGAGAGTTCTAACTTTGCTCAACTATCATCAGACAATGCAAAATATTCATTAATAAATTCTCTAAGGTTAATAAAAAATAAAAAAAATGTCAGCATAAACAAAAGAATAAATAACGTCAAACTAACGCAGTGACCCACAAGTGACAGAGTCTATACAAAACTTTCTCGCCTGTTACTTACAAAATTAGGTTTTGTTAAATTGTATAATTTGCAGCACCATTTAGTCAGCAATCATTCTATTGTTTGTACGTTGCTTTTCACAATTAATTAATTTACTTTAATAATTGTTAATGCTATTTCTACATATTTAATGCCCTTTATATACAACATCATAGGGAAATAAGAGAATGCCCAAACTCAGTCGCCAAATAATTTTAATTAAGAAATAAATATATTTAAATAGCAAAACGACATTTACAGCGCCCTTTTGTTAAAATTTAAAAAATTATTAAAAAAAAAATAGTAACACAAACAAGAAATAAAACGAGAAAAACAAATAATAGTAGAAAATAAGAAGTACGAGAAAAAAAGGAGAAAGAATCAACCGCGAGTCAACGTACAGAACAAAAGACGGTGCTCAATTTCGGCGCCTACAGGACTCGATTACGTTAAGTAACCGTAATTATAGAAAATACAGACCCAATCAATAGAAAGTCTCTGTTTCTCCTACCTTACTAAGCAGTTGAGAGTCTAGCTGACTGTCGATTTCCTTCAGCTGACTGTCCAAGTGTTTGGACGTGTCGAAACTCTTGTTCGACTCGAATTTGGTATACGATGGTACGTGATATGACGAGTCACTGCCGGTGTAGGAGTTACTCGAGCCGAAACCTGTCGAACTCGTCAACACACTACTTACTGCAATCAGTACGTCAAATAATTACCATTATGTCGAGAAATATAAATAACAACTATAAATACAGACAACTTACCCAGCTCTTCCCGTGACACAGAAGTACCCAGTACGTGATCAATATCGGGCGTTCCAAGGCTGGGATGTGGCGTGTGATGGGGCGACCTCCCTAGCATACTGGAAACATCTTTGTCATATGTATGTTTCTGAAGAACTTTGATCATTGCATCTCGTTCCGCAAGTTTTGATTCCAAATCTTTAACTCTATAAAAAGAGGAAGGCAAGTGATAAATAAAAACAAGTAAAAACGAATCGGCTGCAATTTACAAGTATAATTTACCTTGATTCCAAATCTGCTACTTTCTTCTGTGCAGCGTGAACCTCGTCCATGTGTCGAATTTTTTCATTTCGAGCTTCCGCTATTATTTTTTCAGTCTCTTGACTAGTTTTCTCTAAAGCTGCAATTTTTGCATCCCTAAAAGAAGACAATAGTACTGTTATAACTGGTACAATTAAAACATTAAGTCGATAGTGCCCAAGAAATTAAAATAAACTCTTCTGGTGTGATTTAAGAAAGAAGTGTATATTTTAATTAGTCAGGAGTGCAATTAAAACCATTTTTAAGTCTGAAATTTGTATATGTATAAATCAGGTGTCCTTAAAGTTAGGAAGATCTCCACTAAGTGGAGTATAAATTCATTGTTACTTACTTGGGTATACTAGCTGCGTCAATTGCCGCTTGTCTGAGTGCACTTTCCTCTAAGTACCTCTGCTCCCACTTGGAGCATTCGCCTTCCAATCTCATAATTGTTTCTTCTTTTTCACGTAAACGCCGTTTCAATTCGGCCGCGCTATCAGCGCCTGATCCGCTAGGCGAATCCCATCCTCCTCGTCCACCAACAGCACTCTCATCACCTGCGCCAGCGCCCGCGCTCGCGCCCCTCTGCCGCTGAAGTTCACGTTCCAGTTGCAAACGTAATTTTCGCTCGGTTTGCTCACGTCTGTCACTTGCCAATTGTAATGACGAAAGTGCCTTTTGTAACTGCGCCACCCGTTCGACGTATACCTGTTTTTTGCGATTCTCTTCTTCTAGTCGGACAACGTTACCTTGAGCGTTCGTCAAAGCCGTGTCCAGAATGTCAATGTGCGTCCTCTGCTCCTGAAGTGTGGCCCTCTGAGCCGCCAACTCTATTTCTTGACGTTCCTTTGCAGCCACCAACTCCTTATCTAATCGTAAATAAAACAAATTTAGGAAAATAGATAAGCGTATTCTAGTTAATTTATAATAAAATGTTATTGTTTACTTTGTGTAATCAGCTGAGCGATCAAGACCTCTCTCTTGCTAAGTTCTCTTCGTAGGCTGTCTGGGCCTGTAGAATCAGGAGCGGGGGAGCGGGACAATAGCTGGGTACTAAGTAAGTCGACCTGTTCGCGAAGAGCCCGATTGAATTCCTGCAAACGACGGCAGTCTACTTGGAGACGGCTTCGTGCAGCTCTCTCGAGGCGTTCGCGTCTTTCGCATGATTGAACCAATTCTTCGTGAGCTCGATGTACCTTCAGAATTTCCTGTTCCAACTGAATATGAATATTAACATTATATCCTACAGTAAATTGAAAAGACCTGTGACAATATTTACTTTTTGGGTTTTTGATATCCTTTGATAGCAGTTTTCCAGTTCAACTTTGAGAGTGCTGTTTTCCTTGATTAGGACGTCGATCATTTCTGACGTAGGCCCGAATTCTGTAGTCGATTTATCGGATTCTTCTCTGCCCTTAGTCTTCGGCCGTGGTACAGAAACACCCCTCTTTAGATTGGCTAGATCTCTTTCGGCGGCGATTACTCCTAATTTAGATAAATCTGGTTGTGACTTTGATAAATTTAACTTTTCCAAATTCAATTTGCCTCTCGCGTTCGACGACTTGTTCGAACCTGACTTCTCCACCCAAGCCGAATAGTCAGGAGGAGGAGGCAAATTGTTATACTCTTAAAACAAAGATTTACATATTAATTTTCATCAAATTGTAATTCCAAATTATATTACCTCTTTCGGGTGTTTCAGAGTTTTTGGTGCTGTTACCAGGTGATGGTACCTTGACCTCTTTGGCCAAATGTTTGAGTACTGATGATTGGTTCAAGTAATCGTCGGGAATATCGGTAATTTCCTGGACACCTGTATCATACAGTCTACTATTGGCTGCTTCCAGACTGTTACGAAGATGATCTTTGGTGTTGTTCCCCAGGGACGGAGACGGAGACGCTGAATTACGTTTTTGAACAGGAGAGAGCTTTGGGTCATGGTAAAAACTAGCAGACTGATGAGCTAAATAACTTGGAGGACTTATGTCTGTAGTACCAGAGTTACGACCTGCAAGAAGAAAAAACCAGGGCTTTATAAGTAGGATTTTTGGGATTTTATTTTTAGTTTGTTACCGGTCCACGGTTCGTCCCCAGCACTATGAATTATAAGGGTGTTATAAGATGAGGAAGACACATCGAGTGAGCTACGATTGCTCGGTAGACTTTCTTTTAATGAGCTTCGATTGGAAGACTGAAGATTTTCCTGGCCTTGAGGTTCTTGTCGGGGAATGTGTCGAATGACAAACTTTTCTTCATTTGAAAGGTTTTCATTCGACGTTGATACATCTGTTTCACTACCACTCAAACTTTGTGGGAAAGCACCTGAAATAACACATTTTTTTTTATATTTAACTACAACTGCTAAAATGAATTAACTATGTATTTACCTGCACTGGTAGGTATGTAGCTTCTATATCTATTTGTCTGCTGAAGAGAACTCATTTTAAATTGTTTACTATCTTTTCTATCAATCCCTTTTAAGACATTTCGCGTTATTCTGAAATAAATACACAAATATTTAAAAAAACTTAGCTACTATTAATGAAGAGGGTTTACAATTTATTCACCTTAAAATTTAGAATACTTTTGGTTAATAGATAATTAAAAAATAGTGCCTATTCATGATACTTTGCAATAGTTCAAATCAGTTCAAATGTAAATAAATTGAACTGTATTGAATTTTTAAAATACTTTGTATTCTTGTATGTTCACAAATTGGTTCTTAAGTGAAATTTTTTGCTTAAAACAATTTACTAACTTAATTAAGTAAGCAATTAAAACAATAAAACAATTACATTGACAGAAACTTACAACTGGGAAATGAATAATTTTAAATGCATTAAATTATTTAAAAATAATAACTATACTTTAAAAGCATTTTTATCGTCAATTAACCCATTAACGGTTCATCGTTTATCGGATAATTTTTATTACAATCATCAGACTAAAATACCACAACTATTACTCACTCTGAATATTCCACTATGAAATAAAATTTTATTAATTGGAGCAACCATTGCAGGTTAACAATATTTACACGAATGGGACAAAAAGAAATTCCTATTTGAACTTTAAAAACATATTTTATTACACAATCTACATACTTCCGCCGAATTAAGAATTTTTGGCTGGTTAAAAAACTTCCATTAAGCAATTTCCACAAATACCAAAGGCATTATTTCGAAGTAGAAAGTTCCTTATAATTTTGCTCTTGTAAGAGGTCAAGTACACTTACCTAGTTTGATTGATAAAGAAATAATCTAAGGCCACTAATTACACAAACAATTTCCAACACACAAGCAATAATTTGTAATTACTTTAAAAATTAAAATTTCGGGATCAACTTACGGAACTAAACTAATCTCTTATCGTACATTGTCGCACATTCTCCGACAGATGGCTTGTCTTGTAATGCCAGTATAAACATCAACGTCACAAATTTCGCATTCCATTCTCATTTACTACCCATCTTAAAAAAGTTGTTCATTATAATTCAGTACAGCACACTGCGATGTATTTAAAATGCATTTAGAAATCTTCACAAAAATAATGCTGGCAATAAATTAATTCCAATTGATAGGTGTCCTTTAAAAGTGATGGTATATCTCAATCAGCAATTCTTCGGTTAATTAATTAACGAAATAATAAGCTTGAATGGAATTTTAATTTTGCCAGATTACGTACATTTATTAAGTATTTTTATTAATTTATCACGAATATTATGATTTACAATTAAACTTAATTTCTGATTCTATATCTAAATATGTTTATATTTATCTGCAAATGTAATTAAAGAAGAATTTTCTGATATGTGACTATACTTTGCAATATACTGTTAATTTGTATGTTATTTTCATACTTACGCATTTTATTTTTTTGTATATAAAAAGCTAATTTTTCTTAAAAATTATCATTATTGCGTTAAATACTAGTGTAAAAAGAAATTAAACCAGATTTATCTTTCATTTTTAAGTTAAAAGCTAAGCTGTAGCTCTATGCAATGTTGTTTTAATAATAAAATCTTCAACATCCTTCTAAAAATTAAATAAGAGCATATTTTCATTAATAAATAATCTACTACTGCTTTTATATTAAGAAAAAACTATTTTATTATTCTATTATTAATGTTTTTAGGAAATACGTTACGTGATTCTTCCAGCAATCTTCATTTTTATGGATAAAAAGTAAAGTATGGTTATTATCCAGCATCGAGTAGTCCTCCATTTCCATACTATTTAAAGTCCATACTTTTGACAACTGTAAAGATTTTATAGGTTAACTTCAAAATCTTTTGCAATATTTTTGAAAAAGTGCTTAAAATGAGTACTTACGAAATAAGTAAATCATCAGTAAGTATAATTTTATTACCTTATTGACAAATTTAATAATTTGCACTTTTAGTTGCTTAGTCTGAAAGCTGAAGTTCTACGTAAACAAGAGGAAATTAGCAAAGCCAAACTACAAAATAAGTTTAAAAGACAAAAAGAACCAAAAAAATTAACCCCTTTGGAAGTAAAAAATAAGGGTGTGGAACAAAGAGAAATTCAGGATTCGCAGGAAGACATTGACTTGTTACAAAAATCTAGGTAATGCGTATGAATACATGGAGGTCTTCTGGATATGAATATGCCTGTTTTTAATTTCAGAACAGTACTAGAACATAAAGCTCAGCTTTATGATAAATTATGTAGTTCAGATAAAACAATAAGTGGGGAAGAAAATGAACATATTCAAAAATATCTGGTGCACTTTGACAAAAAGAAATATAGTAATAAGGAAAGCTCTGATCATGAAAGCCAAGAAGAAAATTTCAATGAGTCAGTCTATGAACCTGCTCAAAATCCAGATGAAGAATGGTAACATTGCCTGTCTCTCAATACATTCATGTATTTATTAATTCATATTGATATCTTTATAGGATAGAATATATAGATTGTTTAGGAAGAACAAGAACTTGTATGAAGAAAGATTTAGAATTTTTAAAGTCAAAAGATGAAGATTTAAGAGCAGCTGTAGAGAAAGACTCTAACAAAGCAGAACAATTAGTCGATAGAAAAGAACAGGAAAATAAATCAGAAGATTTGAAACCATTAGATGAAAATAATGAACTACTCTCAGCAGATATGAGAAGAGAAATTATGAGGCAACAGTGGGAGAAAGAAGAAGCTGAATTAGCTAAAAAAGAAAATATTCATTATCAAGATGTGTTATTTAATGGTAAGCAAATAAATTATTTTTCTAATTTTTTGTTTTACACATTTCTTAAATAATTGCTTAGAGGCTAGAACTCATGGTGTGGGATATTATGCCTTCTCAAAGGATGAAGAAGAACGTAAAAGACAGCAAGAAGCTTTAAAAAAGTTAAGGCAAGAAACAGAACAGGAACAAAAAAAGGCTCAACAACTTAAACAGCAAAGAGAAAAGCAGTTAAAAGCCAGAATAAGGGCTGCAGAAAATAGAAAAAGGGCAAGATTAGGATTACCTCCTCTGGAAGATCATGAAGATGATGGTAAGAAAAGTTTTTTTTATTAACTTAAATTTATTTTTTTGTTTTATTTTTTAGAAGAGGAAGGAACACAACAGTTGGATGAAGAAAAAGAAAAGGAAGAAGAAGAAAAGAAAAGAAAACAAGAGGAAGTTGAGAAAGTAAAAATTCAGAAAAGTAAAGAAGCTCACATTAGACCTTGGGACATTGGGAAGGAAGGTGTTAAAGAACATTATGTTTACTCACAAGAAGAATGGATAGCAAAAAAGAGAAAAGAACGACCAGACGAATTCGCTCCTCCTCAACAGTATAAACGATCAAATTTTAGGAGTCTTAACAGTTATCAAGATAATAAGGAAGACGAGAATAATAAAAACTTATACTTTTCGACGAAAAAAGAAGAAAAAGAACAAAGTAAAACTGCCAAACACAAATGGAAGTCTTCAAATCCATACAAGAATAGTCAAACTAATGAGGAAGTTGGAGAAAAACAGATAATAGATAAAACAAGTATAAATTCAAATACAGAATTTCAGGCATCTTTAATTGTGAATGAATGTAGTGATAATGAAGATGATAGATTACTAAATGATTATAAACTAATTTCTAATCCTGCAAAGGAGATGCACAGCAGAGGAAGAGGTGCTGAAATAGCCCCACCTTCAACTTTTGAATATTATGGACCAAACAGCTCTAATAAGAAAGCTAAATGTGAAGAAAAACAAAATATTGAAGAAGCAATATCTGCAGGACTCAAGTTTTTAAGAAATCAATTTGAAAAAAAGAAACCAAATAATAGAGATAATGAGATGTTTATCATGTAAATTGTTTAAAGTTTTCCTTTTGTTTTTAAAAGGAAAACTACGAATTTAAAGAATAGTTTTTATAACTGTTTTATTTAATTAAAAACATCATTGTATATATGCTAGAAAATAAAATGTTTGTCCAGAAATATAGTTTTTAATATACTTTCATGTTAATTTCCTTTTGAATTATTTAATAAGAAAATAGAAATTATGATTTTTAATTCAGTTCTGTTCAGGTCTATGTATTAAAGCCCATATAAATAAAAAAAACAGAACAAAAACACTTGTAAGACACTTGGGCCAGCTTTTATTAGCACTTAAAAAAAATAACAATGTCTTAAATTAGAGAATGTATTTATTTACTGTGCACCATCTCCTGTGGGCATTGTCCTGATTATATCTGAATCACCAGGATCCGTTATAGACATAACACATACTCTAAAGTATTTACCACAAGCTGTTCCCAATTCTACATTGTTACCTGTGTAATGATGGACTCCAGTTTTGGCTAACATGGCATAATATTCAATTTCTGATTTCCTTAGAGGAGGGGTGTTATTTGCAATAATTACAAGTTTGGCTTTTCCTTGTCTCAGAGTCTAAAAATAAAAATTAATTAGCAAGCGAATTTCAATTATATTTTTGCAGTCTGCTTAATATAAATTGTTCCCCAAAAACAAGTTTCTTTTAAACATAAAATACAGTTTAAAAACAGTAACTGCAGTTGGAGATATTGTGTTGTAGCATGCTTATGACTCCTTCATCTCTTTGAGAACCAGAGATGGATCTAAGGAGCATGCAAACAAATATATAATAGAAAATAAACATGGTGATATATACCTTTAAGGTTTGTTTGTATCCTAAACAGTATTTTCCTGATTTCATAACCAGGGCTAGCCTGCTGTTGATACTTTCAATAGTCTTCTTTTGCTTTTTTGCAGCCACCATTTTTGTAAAGTATCTACAACTTTTAAACAAAACAAATAATAACTATAATAACCTTAATAATTATTCAAGAATAAATAAAGTTCGTGATTACTATATTCCCCAAAATAATTAAACAACATTTATACCTTCACGTGTACGGTCACTGGCGTTGTCAAGGAAGAACAATTGAGGTTAATTTAATAATAATAACTTCCTCCACTTCTACCAACCATTTCCTTTAGCGGTGAATTTGAATTCAAATGTTTGTCGTTTTCTTCCTATTCAGAAATTTGTTAAAAACTGAAAAAATCAACTATTTTTTATTAAAATATATATTACGAAAAATTGTACTCTTGATTTATTAAATTATCACTATAAATACGTCAGAAATGTTTTTTTGATCTTGTTTTCTTTTGCATATTTCATATTTCAATTATGAACTGATGAATTAAATTAGTTAACAAATGCAAACAAAATTTTAGACATATTAAATATATTTTAATTATCTATACAAGTACATTTTTGTAACTATATATCAAAATGTGGTATGCTTTATTTAACAATATAATCTTTTTTTGAACTTTCTCTAGAATAATGCATTTATTTCTGCCATTTATTACAAAGCTGAAATATAATCAATGCAACTTAACAAAAATATTAATTATACATATAACAAAATATTCTAATAGCTGTTGCTTTAAATGAAGCTTGAGTTTAATACGGATGTAATAAACAATAACTCATTTATTACATTTCTCTTATTTCATTTAAATACCTTAACGCAGTGATTTCAAACCTGCGGGGTGCGCTCCCTTAATGGGATGGGATACGCAGCTGGGCATACGTATAAAAAAAGTTTAGAAACCACTGCCTTAACTACAATAAGTGTTTACAATCTAATATTTTGTTTATACTAATTTTAAACTTTTCAGAGAACAACAGAGAAACATTAAATACACACTATAAGAAAATATAATGTACATGTTATTAATATCCCAATTTATCATTCAAACTGGTTCGCCCGTCACCAATTTGATTATTTGGTGGCACCCACATATTATATCCTTCTTTTGCAGCATCTTCTTTATACCCTTTTTGTTTTTCGATTTCAGTTTTGTACTGTTTTTGCTGCGACCTTTTCTGTGTTCGTTTCTTTTTCTTCTTCTTTAGTGTACTATCAATTTCCATTGCTTCGTCATCATCTTCATCACCTGAGTTATTTTCATTATCGACAGATTCTACTGAAGTAGAACTAGAAGCAATACAGTCTTTTGGTTTCTTTGGTGGTGTACATTCTTTTTCACATTTTGTTTTGTTTTTACATGCCACATCATCGTCATCTGACGAACTACCCACGTTATTTGTTAAAAGAGAGTTAATACACTCATCTGAGATCTGTTCTTCTTGAGCCAAGATGTTTTTTACTCGTTCAAGTTCGTCGATAACTTCGTTGTTAAGATCCTTGATTTGTCTTCCTAAGTCTTTGACTTGATCGATAACAGTTACTTTGTGCATAGTCATTGCAATTACTTCTTTGTAGATTCGCTCCAATTCTGTGGATATTTGTCGCTCCTGTCTTGCTGTTAATTCTGAATTCGATACTTTTCGAATTTGTTGAAGTATTTTTCGTTTCTTGGCTTCCAATGTTTTGCTGTATATTTCCATGTGATCTTCTTTCATTGCTAGTTTTTTCAATTTGTTCATAATTTTCAGTATTTTGGAAATATGTTTGACTGCGAAGTTAGAGGCGCCAGCTATATTTGAATTTCCCACGATATCATTTACATTAGAGCTACTTGGGATGCCGACTGTAGTATCAAGGCTCTGCTTTTTATTTCCTGCTTGTTCATGCTCATTTTCATCTTCTTCTTCACCATCTTCTTGCATTCTATTCTCTTCAGAAATTTCTATTCTTTGAGGCAACTGTACTTTTACTTTTTTTCTTTTGCCAAACATTGGAAGTTTTGATACTTTAGAATGAGAATTTTCTTCCTGTTTTTTCATTTTTTCATCATGAGAGATTAGTGGAGGAAGATCAGCAGGCTTGGCTATGTTTGCTAATTTTACCACTTGTGTGTGTTCTTGTTTCAATTTAAACAATTCTGATTTGAGTTTACTAATAGTTTGTTTGTCCAATTTGCTCTGTTTTAAGTCTTTCATAAATAGTTCCAGGGGATCTTCCTCAGTGGTAGAGGAGCTTTGTAGCTCATTAGGATTATTGGTGGCATGCAGCTGGCGTTCTAAGTCTGCGATTTGGACACTCAACTTTTTTTCCTTTTCAACCTAAAACGAAAAAGTTATTGAATTATTATAATAATTAAAATGTTCGTAATGTAGGCGTGTCTTACCAAACTTTCATAAGTTTCTGGTTTTTGAGGAATTTTAGCGTTCATTCGTTTTTCTCTTTTTTTTTCTATTGTACCAGTTCTGTCCAAAAATGTGTCTTCGTCACTATCGTAATAATCGTCTTGTTCCCAGTTCTTTGCTTTACGTTTTCGCGATTCTATAAATTTAAAAATATTTCCTTTGTATACTAAATATTTTTCAGTGTATATTAATTTGTTATAATAAAGTTATTTACCATGAGTTGCTTGTTTTAAGACACCAAAACGATCTAGTATTCTACAAGCCTCTAACGCACATTGTACTACAGCTTCTTTTTTCTTTCCTTTATGTAATACTTCAGCAACGATCGGACGTCCTTTTTCGTCGTCTAAAGGTAGTTCAACACGACATACAAATTGCCCAAATCCCTGTTCTTCGCAGTCGTATTCCAGGTCGTATCCTTCCCTTTCCATAAATCCACGTAACGCTTTTTTTGGGTCACTTATATAAAGTTCTTCGTTGTTTGTTTGGGCGTATGGATTCTCAGATAAATCCACATCTTCATCTTCGGCATCATCACCTAAAATGACAATCAATAACGCAATAAATATGTATATCATTTAATATTATATATAAATTATGAGTGCTGTCAGCACAGGGCAAAGTAGTATTACGTAGTTAGTATTAGCAATTTCTTATGCTGAAGTGCACGATGTGTTGCATACCTATTTACAAACAATTCCTTTAAATTTAATTTTTCAAATAATTTTTAACACAAATGAAGTGATTAAAGAAATTGATATTTCGACCACTCGAAGCAATGGTGCTACAAGTTTCGCGCTCACAATGACAGATAGGGGGTAAGAACTAGTTTAAAATAAAATATTTTATAAAAAGTATTTTGAGACCAAACAAAAAATATTTAACTTTTCCTTGCCCTTAACTGATTTTATACTTTAAAATTAATAAATATATTGGTAATAAATAGACTTACCCATTCCCCAATCAATTCCCTTCTCTTCTTCTTTTTTAAGTCTTGCCTCTTCTTCAAGTTCTGCTTTAAGTTTTGCTTCTCTTTCTTCCTCTTCTCTCCTAGTGAGTTCTTCAAGGCGTTTCTGTTTTAATTCAGTCACACTTAATTCTGACTCATCTTCAGTATCATCTTCTGGTCCAGTTAGGATGAAATTTCGGGTACTACACCCCAACTTAATCATATGTCCTACCTTAAACAGATTAATTAAAATGTTTCCATTATTATTGATCAAACAATAATATAAATGTGACATGACAATCCTAGCAAACTAGAAAATAAATCTAAACAAACGCAAAAAATACAAGATGAATGACAGACAAGTTTGACAAAAAATAACTGTGAACGCTACATATTCTAAAATGGAAATGAAATCAACCCAAAATCAGAAGAGTAACCAAAAAGCATTGGAAGTTCGTATACCGATTGAAACAGAAGGAAATGACGAAACTGAAAGTTGTGCGTGCTGTTCACAGTCTCCTAGAGTAGTGAAATATTCGAGTTTACAAGCTGGAAATAAAATAAATTCTTTAGCAACAACTGCTGCTGAATCTGACGATGAAAGTGAAGCCAGAATACGTAGTTTAGTTGAACAAACGTCAAAAATGGCAATAGAAAGCGAGGTGCGCGAGAAAGAAATGGCAGACGCTTTTAAATCGTTAAGAGAGAAATTAGAAATGGACGATGAATTTTTAAGGAATAAGAAAGAACAACTTCAGAGAATGATTTTTCAGTTCCAAAAGGATCGAGCGAAATTGTCCCATGCCGATCACATAGGGGACTGCCTCGAAAATTCCAATAAATCAACAGAAGAATTGGAATCTGAAATGCAAAAGATAACAGCAAGAATTGATAAACTTAAACGTAAAGTTGAAAAAATAAAAGCAGAACAACCAGAAAAGGATAGTAGTGATTATAAAGAAGCACTTGAAAAGGGTGTTGAAGAATTAGAAAAAATCAACAGTGGACATATATATGAAGACAATGATGATGATGATGATGATGATGATTAATTTAGAAGTATGCTAATTAAAAAAATACATTAGAGCATGAAGTTATAGTTACATACTAAAAATAATTTGGCATGTGAAGTACTTTATACATGAACTTTTTACATTAAATCTATTAAAATAAAAAAGTTAAATACTTTTACTCTGGCATAAACCCTTGGTCTAATTTTGTTTTTGTTTAAAAATGTTCCATGTGTACTGGATAAATCGTAAATGTAAAACCCTGCAGAATTTTCTTCATCAGGCTTACTTCTGTACTGCAAAACTGCATGATATCTAAAACATTGGCATTAAGTTAATTTAGTTGTTTTTTTTATTTACAAAAAAATTGTACCTTGAAATTGTAGGATGAGCCATATATATATCACAGTTTGGTAATCTACCAAATACCCAGGAAGATTTTTTCATTAAATCTACAGTTTCAACAATAACACCATTCTTAAGTACTTCAAAAGTATACTTTACTCCATTGCTTTCAGGTAGACCAGACCAAACAGGCTCTTTGTATGGTAAAGGATGTTCTACAGGTAACTCAAGTTGATTTCCTTCTTCTGATTTTTCTAGAACAATTATAAATTTGCACAATACACCAATCAGGGTCAGGAAATGTTAGTTGATAACTTACGTCTCAGTTCTTGTTTTTCAACATGGATAGCTTCAGCTTCTTTACCTAATTCATTTGTTGTATCCAAAGTGTCTTCTTTTACATTATTTGTTTTTGTATAGACTGGTATTTTACGTGGAAGACGGCCTATTTTTCCTATTAATAACGGTTTTTTAAAAGACTCTGGAGAAGGAACTGAATTTTCAGCTTGACTTGAATTACTTGCTTCATTTGTTATTACATTTTCATCCATATTTTATTCAGAGTAACTAGAAAATTCAATAATTAGCAAGTTAAAGTAATTACTAAAATAAATAAATTAATTTTACCTATTTTACAAGAATATTTCTGGCTTTAACCTTAAACTTTTGACAACTATTTATTCATAGATAACAGACTATTTATCAACTCCTGATTTTTTTTCTATGATTTCTTTTTATGATAATCATAGATAATAACAGCTCATAACCAATAATTTATTTACAAACGTCAGTGAATTGCAGAAAAAATATTAATTAGTACACGAACAGTGTTTATTAATTAATTTTGGTGGAACTAAAGTTTAAATACAATCTAAAATGACTTCATACACTGAAGGCTTTGATAATTTTTCTGGTAATTTATGCACAATTTCGAAATACTTGTTGCAACTGTACTTTTGAAATTATTTTAGTAACATTGTTTTTCGAAAATTATGGATGGATACTGTTAGGGGCATTTATTCTATTTTATTGTTTGTACAATAAATTGGCCCCTAAGATAAGCAAATATTTTCAGCAACGTGAGGAAAGAAACTATGCTGCAAAGTACCATAAAGGTGCATTTGTCACATCTACAATTAACAAATATCTATTCCAATTATGTTAAATGTTTTTAGATGTTGATGTTATATTTGATAGACTGACTAAACAGCAAATATTGGTAGAAAAACTGCAGGAAAAATATAACAAAGAGGCAGAAGAGTATAAAAAAAAACTTGAAGAGGTAATTGCTGTATAGATGTAAAATAATGATATCAAAGTAATTTTCTAATTTATAGAGGGAAAGAAAGAAACGAGAAGAATTTTTAGAAAAGCAAAACTTAATATGTGGTGGACAGAAACTTGGAAGTAGCTCTGGGTCTGGAACAAATAAATCTTTTAAGCCTGGTAAGTATATATTACAATAAATTTGCAATACACACTTTTAGTGTATTTGTATTCTTATAGTAAATTCAAATTCCAAAATTTTTCTTTTTTAGAATATAATCCTTTGATGGGGAGTGGTGGCACTAATTACCGGCCTCAGAGAAAAACACCATGCTCAGGAGGGGGATGTGGCAAATAGTTTTCATTTTTGTTAATTAATTCAGGTAAAACTGATTGTGACTGTTTTCAAGAAATTATTTTTATTTATTCATATTAAATAATACAATTAAATACACTTTAGTATTCGTTTGTATTTTGGGACTTTTAAAAAGATATTATAATAACCCCTGCCTTTTAAGATCTTCATATGTTTTACGATTGACCACATTACCCTGTGAATCTTCATATTCCTCTTCGGTTTCAGGTTGCCACCTTTCTGCTTGCTTTTGGACTTTTAATTTCTCCCACACTGACAATAAAATAATCTGTTAATATTTGCATTTGCTTTGTCACATAAACTTGATTTGCAGTTTAGTTTAATGTTTTGTAAAATTTATCTCATCCTATTCAAATACAATTATTTTTCCAAAAACTTGCTTTTATTTTATTAAAAAAATAATAAAACGTACGTGCAAGGGCATCTTCAATCTGTGTAACGTTGGCAAAATGAGCAGTGTTTGGTATTCCCAAGCATCTCATCCCATGGGCGTGACGCCATTCTGCGAAATGTCTCTGGAATGCCTTGGGGCCTTTGTACACATAATTTCCACATATTTCGCAAGTGTAACTTATGTTCAAGCCATGCAACTTATAAAGCCAGTAGGGAATTGGCTGGAAATGAAATAAAAATTATTTACAAATTAAAAACTTATTAATATTAAACTGTATTTTCTATGTATTAACGCTGTTTGTTAAAGTTTTCTAAAAGAAGCAGAGAAATAGTAAATATATCAAAAAATAATTATCGATACCTTTCCATCCCATCCAAGGGGTAAATTCTTAGGATTGTATGGAACGTCGTCGGTGTCATCTTCTAAACTTTCTCCGTCACTTTCCTCGTTCTCACTATCATCTCGTTCCCCATCTGTTCTTGCTTGTTTTCTTTGAACATTTTCTTTAGTTGCTGCTCGTTGTTGAGATACTAACTCGGCAAGTCTGCATCAAAACAAAATTACAGTAAGTATTAAATCAAATATCTGCTTAATATGTTTCAATTTAAGATAAATAGGTAATACAAAAATTATTAACTTATAAACTTGGGCTTCAAGGCAAGCAAGTTCTCTTTGCCTTAACAGTTCCTTTTCTTTACTGGCTCTACCACCTTTATTTTTAGCCATAAGAGAAGGATCAAGAGATGTTGAACCCTTGGTGGCCCACAATCTTTGAGCACGTTCTTCAAGAGTCCTAAACAATAAGAATAAAAAATATTTCAGTTTTATTGCATATAATGATAAGATTTACATAACATATGAAATAAAATTTAAATACCCTCCACATTTCAATCCCAATGCCAAAAGGGCTGATTTTAAACGATCTAGCCCCAAAGATGCCAATTCTTCCCAGCTATTAAAGGCTGACAGTTCTAAATGGGCTCCAACATTGGCCAATGCAGAACCAGTTTCTTTCTAAAAGCAACTTGACGTTTAGTTAAAAAGTAAAATAAAAATTAATTTATGTAAATTACAGGCCAACCAGGAACTGTACCACTGTCCCAACGTTGGAGAACAGAATTGACTTCAATTTGAAGTTCTGTATCCAAATCCATCAAAGGTTTTACACGTTGAACAAACCAACTCAAATATTCAATAAGAGCAAGAAGGTAGCGACGATATTCGCCTGTTTTTCTTTCCTTGGGAATATCATATAACTGGTCAAATGTGCTTAAATATGCAATGTAATCCACTTTCTTAAACAATAAGTGATTATCATAATTAATACAGTACTAGTAATTAATACAGTTAGCCAATTATTTAATAACTTACTTCAATTCCTTTTAAATTAATGTATTTTTCATAACATTCATGAAGATCCAAATATTTACCATAGCCTTCTTCATCAGTAAATTCAACTAGATCTAAAATTGCCATTGAAGTTTATTTCTTAATTAAAGAATAAACAGTTTTTTAATAACTTACTGGCTAATTCCTCAGTAGGGTCCTCTCTTGCTTTGGCAAGTTCATCAAACTCAACAGACATGGGTACACTTATCTGATTAAATTATATTTCAATTAGCACTAGAATAAGGTGTTAGTTTCAAACTAGCTTACCTCATTGGGGTGTTTTCTGTAGAAGTCTTTTATCTGTTTCAATCGACTGTAAAATTCTTGAAATTCATTTGGTCCAGTAAGAGCAGCAACTTCTGCTTTACGGTGCCCATCTTTATCCTCATAAAGGTCCATTAAACGTTCAGTACTAGTTAAATATCTATCTAGTAAATACTTTAACCGTTGATCAGAATTAATTTGTTCTCGATGCTACAAATACCAGTATTTTAAGACTTCTTTAAAATTTATGACAATTCCAAACTTACACTTGTTTTTTTGTGAAGCATTTCCTTGACCATTGCATCGATTAATCGCTCTCGTTCTTCATGATAACGACGTTGCTGTTCCAGAATAGTTTCCATTTTTAATGAATTTTATTTATTAATTACTGATATAATTACTTTCATGAATAATACACCATTTCCATATAATAACAATTACAACACATGTAGGTACATCCTTGTCAGCAAAATTAATACATGCATGTAAGCAATGTTGCCTACATCATCTACATAGTCGTGAACATCTAAAATTGATTTATTTGTCTATTTTGAAGTTATAAACAACGAAAAGATGAAAATATAATTATAATNTTATGAAACAAGAATTCGAAGACAGAAAGATGAAGTTAAAGAAGATCACGCGAATACTGTAAGTAATTAAATGGTTAATATTTTATTAAATAAGAAATGATACGTTTTCAAGCTTAACATTTATAAGTTTCTTTGAACACACCCGTAAAACGACCGTTGCGCAAAAGCAGAAATCAAAAACACATACGAACATATACAATTAAATTACAATATGGAGGTATGTTTGTGATAATCTCTCTATTAAAATTTTGTGTTTACAAGGAGTTAAATTCAACATTTTTTAAGATAACTCATGATTAAAACAGATAATCGAATCTTATTAACTGTTGCAGCCTAGGTGATAACTGTTTAAAGGCACATTTAATAATTTATACCTGCAATTTATTATTTTTGTATGGACTTAATGTCAACAGTGTATGAAGAAGCTATTTGGATGTGTAATTAAATATTGGAGAATGTTCTGAATTTTTAGTATAATTAATTAAAACGAACAGGAATAATCGCTTGATATTATATTCTTTATAGTAGTCAAATTTAAAAATGAACTGCTCAGTGAAATAATTTATTTACTAGTTGGAATGTGGTTTAAATGCCTGGTGCATACATAAGAATAAAAGAATGTCACGGGGATATGGAAAGTACAGAAGAGGAAACTGCCAAGCCAGCTTCCACTTTGAAAAATTATTTAAAGAAAATAGCAATTGCCCTTCTGCTGCTCGATCTGCAGGGACAGTTGGGAAATGGGGCATAACTTCATTTACCTCAATTCGAGCTTTAAATGGTATGTTTATAATTGCAGTTTATTCAAAAATTAAGAATATTGGTCACTGTAGTACTAGTATTAAAAGTAGTTTATTGGTTGATATTTAGGTAACATATTTGTGCAGAAATAAACAAAAATTTACTGCAGATTTATTTTTATTTATAAATTATTCTTTTTGTTATTCCTTAACCAACAGGTTTTATTAACTTTTGTTTGAAATTAATAATTTTGTATTTTTAAAGTGATTTATGTTGGTTGTAGATAAGATTTATCTTATCAGTAACAAAAACATTTATTAATGAAACTATGAAAAATAAATTTTAATAGCAAACGAATCAATAGAACTTTTTTTTAAATACAAAACTCAGAAAATTGGCTTAATATAAATCCAAATAGTCAATTTATTTTGATTAGTAAATATGAATTATGTATTTTGATAACTATTTTTAATTCATATGTTAGATATGAAGGAAACTTTCCTGAATTATCTTATCTGTCTTATAACCGTCTTAAAATCAGTTCACTTTGATTAACAGTAATTAAAAAAATAGTTAGCAGTTTTTAGTGAAAAATGGATGTTCTGTTTGTCTGAAATTTCATAAATACAAAATAAAAAGATATCACATAACATGGCAGAAGTTTCAAATAAATTGAGGTGCTATGGTCTGTAGTGTGTGATTATTTTATTTAGTATTTAAGGAATGTTGGGAGTAAATTTTATTTATAGGCTTTTGTTCTTCAGAAAAGGCTGCAGAGCAGAATGCTTCAGTTCCAAAGCCGAAGAAGTTCTTTAAAAGCCGTGATTCTGGGTCACAAGAGTCTACTCCAGCTATTTACAATGAAACTACAAAACCTTATGGTTCCACTACAAAAAGGCCAAAACTCAGTACTTCCTCCGATTCCGAGCCTTCCAATAAATCCCCCCCGATCGAGCCTAGCCGTAAATTTTTTGTTTCAAAAACGGGTAATTCAAAAGACAGTAAAACAGTACTCACCTCCAATTCCCTTAATAATGTTAAACGGGACGATACCAAACCTCCCATTGTACTTAGAATTTGTAGAGGTAAATCACAATTACTCAGCGACTCAGAGGAGTCGGAAACTACAGTGACCCCCACTAGTACCCCCTCAACCTCTGCTGTAACTTCTCCTAGAAGTACGAGTCAAAAATCTCCAGGGAGCATTCGTGTCACTAGGTCTACCAGACGAAGTATGCAACAGGATCCTAGCAGCAGTCCTGCCACTGCCGATACGCCAGCTGATACATTCGGTTCATTAATATTTTCTCCTAAAAAGGACATAGACTTGTCACCACAGTACATTCCAGCAGAGAAATATGAGCAAGAGAGAAAAGCGATGTATGCCAGTCTTCTGGGAACGACAGAACCAGTGTTTGAGCAACATTATCCCCTCTCAGAAACTAATCAGGTAGAATTGAATGGTCTGGAATGTAAAGAAAAAGAAAATTTAGTGCCTGTAAGTAATGAATCAAAAAATTCGGAACAAGCAAACGATTCTTTCGAGAGTAATACTGAAATTAAATTTGTGTCGAATGATGCAAATGTGGATTTGGTGCCTATGGAATTAGAAACTGAAGACAATGCTCCACACACAGAAGAATCGACAGATAATGCTAAGCAAGCAGCTATTCCGAAAATTAGTATTATCGTTAAATCTGGGGAAATTCGGACGAGAAGGCAGAAAGAAGCGGGTCTCTCAGAACATAAAACTTTCGAAATAAAACTAAAAGACAAAGGGGTGGACGACAACTATTCCCAAGACGATGATATCTCTAAAGAAATCGACGTCCCAAAAGAAGAAAATGACAGCCCCAACACAGTAATCGAAACAAAGACGTATGAAAAGAGACAACGTAAGCCTAAAGACGAAAAGGAAGAGGAAACTGTGAAAACATACTTGAGAACTCGAAAACAAAAAGAAAAGAAAGATGTAGAGTTGGAGCTGCCTGAGAAGAAACTAAAAGACGAAAAAGATGAAGAAACTAAAACATATGAAATGCGCACTAGAAAACAAAAAGAAGAGAAAGAAGAAACTACTGCTGTTAATGAAACAATTCCAGCTACTGCAACTACCACAAGAACCTATACACGCACTAGAAGACAGAAAGAAGTCAACCCAAAAGACGAAATTACTTTCCAACCTGAAGAAACGAAAACTTATGAAACAAGAATTCGAAGACAGAAAGATGAAGTTAAAGAAGATCACGCGAATACTGTAAGTAAAGAAGACAAGAATGAAGCAAAGCCTAAAAAGCAAAAAGAGGACAAAGATGAAGTAAACGAATTTACATTCTCTGACGATCCTGCTCAATCTACTGACAAAGAGGAGAATGCATCACAAATAAAAGAAAAAGGTGAAGAGTCGAAATCAGCGCCGTCAGTTGAAGAAATTAAAAGTTCAATATATGAACGTAGACTTACTCGAAACGCTTTAAGATCGAAAACGTCGAGTGATGAATGTAAATCACCAGAAAAAAGTACCGATGATAGTCAGGCCCCTGTTAAAATAGTTATTTCTAAAAAGAAAGGCAGCATTTTTAAAAGTAGATCAATGGTCACAACAGACGCTGGAAAGAAAAGACGTGCCCTCTACAAGCATAAATGGTCAGACGATAGTAAAGAAACTGCTTCTAAAACAGAAGAAGAAGGTACTCCAAAAAGCAAAGAAGATACTGCAGCTTCCGGTTTCGAGTTTGAAGATGGTCCCCTTGTCAGGTTGCCAAATAATAATGGAGACGGAGATATCGATAGAGCCACGACTGTTAAATGTACAAAAAATGATAAGGGAGTGAGTTCACCATACACTTTTTCTTGGATAAATTAATGAATATTACATTTAAATAACAATTTTTTTTTCAGTTTTATACAGTTGTTCGCAATGTTAAGAAGGCCCATCAAATACAAGAAATAGGCGAATTTCAGGAGTTCAACGATGATGTTGAGTACATCCTTGACGCTTTGCAAGACAACAATCCCATAAGCACGCGTTGCCTTTCAGCGATTACGTTAGCTTCGAAATGTATGGTACCAGCATTTCGAATGCACGTAAGAGCCCATGGAACAGTTGCCAAGTTCTTTAAAGCCCTACACGACGCCACAAAAGATCAGGTACTTTATAATACGGTGATTTTAAGTATTTTGGAAATTAATTATTTTTTTCAGAGTTTAGGTCTTTGTACTGCTACGGTTATGTTCGTGTTGAGCCAAGATCGTCTAAATATGGATTTAGATAGAGACTGTTTGGAATTGATGCTGAATCTTTTAGAGTCCGATGTGAGCTACCAACAGGCCTTGGATGTGTGCGGCTTGAGTTCAGCGCAACTCGAAAAGAACAAGCAAAAAGTTAAAGAACTCTGTTCAGAAATTCAAAGTCAGGGACATGCTAAACATTTAAATTTAGATAATATAACAGTAAGTTTTAAACTATCATCGGTGCTCGATAATAAAAAGATAAAATTAATGTGTTTTATTAAGGTGGGACAATTGGCCATGGAAACTCTTTTGAGTTTAACTTCAAAAAGAGCAGGAGAATGGTTCAAAGAAGAGCTACGTGAACTTGGAGGTTTAGAACATATAATAAAAACAATTTATGAATGTTGTCGGCAAGTATCAGATTACGTTGTTACATGGACTGATGCCCTTTTGGACAAATTGCGCAAAATTGATAGGTGCATGAGAGTACTCGAAAATGTAAGTTATTTTTCATAGTTTTTATAAAAAAATAATTAAATTTATACAACAGGTTACTTACGATAATGAAGAAAATCAAGTGTACATTTTAAAGTATAAGGATGGAATGATCCTAGAGACTCTTGTGCAGTTGTACAGGCTGTGCGATTCCGAAATCCCCTTGTATCCCGTCACTGACGTAAGCGATAAAGAATCGACAGGTTCTATTATCAGGGAAGCTCTTCTTGTTACTCTGAAAGTATTAATTAATCTCACACATCACTTTAACAGTAATTGTAAGCAAAAATTGTAATTACGTTTTTCATTTATGTTAATGTTAATTTTATTAAAATTCGTAGCATTTGGTGGAGCCTTAATAGGATCTCAGCCTGGTATTATAGAAGCTAGCCTTCATCTCTTGCTTCAAGTTCCGCATTACATACCTGACCAAAAGAAATTTGAACTTGGAGTACTGGTATGCCGCTTAATATATATTCTTTGTTTTTTTTTTTATTTCAAATATTTTTTTCAGGTTCTTATGTTACTTATAAACTTAATACAGGACAATGATGCCAATAAAAAACTCTTAGTGGAAGCCAAGGCGCCCGCAGAATTTGAGAGTGCCTATGCATGTAAGAAAAACTATTACAGTAACACGAAAAGTTCTAAAATATACTATGTTCCAGGTGATAAAAGTGCTGTGGAAGCCCTCATTGCTCAATTTTACCAGTGGGAAGAGTGTGCCAGGGTGGCAGAAAAAAGAACGGACGCCATTCTGGACGGGGAGAAAGACGGAGAGACGCAAAACGTCCAAAAGTCGAATGAAGAATTCATTGAAGAGACTGTGGCAAAATGTAAGCAGTCAATAGCTTTTTGTGTCAGTTCGAAATAATTTTTTTATGGTTTGTAGTACTTCAGAAGGCTGGTATTCATATGGAGTTTACCTTCCTAGCCTCGTATATAGTGATGCTAATGGGATTTTTGATCATGAACAATTCTGAGTATGAAACCATTGTGAGGACCTTTTTGAAAGATAACAACTTTTCGACGATGGTTGATCTGTTAAACAAGTTCTTCAAGTTTATGAATCTCACTGCCTCGGTAAGAATTAGTTTTCGTTTTACATGTATGAGAATTTTTTTTTCAAAAACAAACTCGGAAAGATTAATTTTACATATCCTTTTTATGTAGTCGGGCGCTTCTAGTGTGTGTGCAATGAAAGCCACGGAGAAAGTATTAAAGTACTTGGAAGATTGTGACAGACTACAAGAAGAAAAAACGAAAGTGGACAAAGAGAACACCACCACGTCTTCGGAGTGTATGGATCTCAGTTATTCGGTAGTCCATTAGTTCTTCGCCGTAAAATGAGTAGGATTAGTTGGTAAATGCATTTTGTTTCTTTATTATCCTTTTCCTGTTTTCTTTTTTTTACTCCCATTCCTGTAGACAGTAGGGTGATCAACATTTGCAGTATTTTTATAATTATTAAACGATATAAAATAACTGTACAGATTTTACTACTTGCAACAAGACAATTTAAATGTGATATACAGTTATTAATTTTTGTTACTTATTAACAATAAATTAATATGATTCTTCCAGAAACACCAGTGATATATTTAAGAAAACGAAAATATACTCTTAAATGTAAAGTCGATAATAGTATGTAAATGGCTCCCATAACAGTGAGTTTAATAGGTTTGCTAAAAAATATCTTTTATTATTGAAATGCTCCTAAATGTTATCGATTATTAGAATAAATATAAGGAACAATAAGAAAATGATATTTTTTTAGAAAATTTATTAACTCACTTATGGGGCTATTTTATCAAGCCTAGCCCTACTTAATAGAAGAAGCATAAAAGTTAATAAGTGAAGCCTTGTTATAAAGTATAAATGTACTAAATATCATTGGCCTTTTTTAGTTTTAAATGATTATTTCGTTCGCAAAATATAAGGTCGTTCTTAACATTACCTATTTAATTTTGAATTGAATTGGTAATTATTTCGACATTAATGTGAGTAGCTGTATTAATTTTTGTCAAATGTTGGTTTACACTCAATGTCTTATGGGAAGAGAGATCTTCGCGATTATAATAATTATGACTTTTTCGCAATAATTTGTATATTACATTGTTTTTTGATGACCGATCTTTTTAGCTATTGTAAATATGTCTTGTTAATTATAAGTGACATTATTTTGCAACAAGTACCTAATTATAATGTTAAAATAAAATCTGTATTATCTACCTTTAAAACTTGTACATATAAATTTGAAAAATTCCACCAGAATGTATAGACTAATTATTGGTCCTTATTTATTAAATAATTATAGTTTTATAAATCGCACATAGTATGTAATTGATTAATTCATTTTATTGTGTATAATGGATTGTTTATATTGTGTAAATACATTATGAAGTGTTTCCTTTTTTTAATTGTGTGGTTATTTAAATATATATTCCTATGCATTCACCTCAAATATAAAGAAAAATTTACTATTTATGTAAGTTAATTACTTAAATTAATGCATTAATTTTTAAACTTAAAAACGGACCAAGTCCATTTGATCCTGAACTTTCAGTATAATGAACGTTCCCAAAAATTCACTTCTATCACAGATACCAAGCTGTATAAATCTTCTATGTTTCCAACTGTTATGTCAAATTTCGTAACATAACCTCAAGTAAATAACAGTAATTTGATTAATTTATTAATTTATTGAGTATGGAAAAAAACCCGAAAATTGTAATTATAGGGGCTGGAGCAGCTGGTCTTGCCGCAGCAGTGAGATTAAAACAAAAATGTTTCGATAATATAGTCATTTTAGAAGCTGAAGACCACCTTGGGGGCAGGATAAATTCTATTAAATTTGGTGATAGCTATGTTGATTTGGGGGCCCAGTGGTGTCATGGGCAGGAAAATAATATCGTTTATGAACTGGTTAATGATTTAGATCTGTTGGCTCCCTCGTATAATACTTATACTGATCATATATTTTGCCAAGATGGTAACAAACTTGCTAAAAAAACCTTTGATATTCTTTTAAATGTTGCTCATGATGTTTTGAGAAGTGGTGATGTTTACAGGAACCAAGATAAATCATTTGGCGATTCTTTTGAAGAAATGTAACTTCTAATTAATTGCTGTTGCAATTTCATTCGTGTCTCCCTTTAAAGTTTCAGATATAAGCTTGAACAAGATCCTAAAAGACATGTAGTTATGTCTTATGTAGATGATTTTATCAGTTGGTTTCACAGCTTTCTTTTGTGTTATAAAGCAGCACCAAATTGGTTTGATATTTCTGTCACAAATAAGGAATATGAAAAGTGTCCTGGATATCCATTATTACATTGGAAGGGGAAAGGTTTTAATATTTTTCTGGATGTCCTCTTGGTATGTAAACTGAGTTTCCACACTGACATTTTAAAATTTCTCTTGGAATCACCTTAAAGCATAAAACAGTCATTCATTATTTGACTTACAGAAAAAATATCATAGTGATTCAGAGGGTTTTGACATTGAGAATAACATTCAATACAATAAAGAAGTTTGTTGTATACATTATGCTGGTACAAACGAGGAAAATGATGTAGAAATTCACTGTACAGACAAATCTGTATTTAAAGCTGATCATGTTATATGTACCATTCCTTTGGGGTCATTAAAAAAATATCATAATACTCTTTTTGATCCTAAACTACCTGATATCAAAGTAAATGCTATTGTGGGACTAGGATTTGGTTCAGTTTGTAAAATCTTTCTTAAATTTCCTCGTCAGTGGTGGAGTGGGGAAACTAAAGGTTTCAGCCTATTATGGAATAATGCAATTCGCCAAAGAGTTCGTCGGGAATATCCCCAGTATATAGGGAAGGTAAAATCTTCACCTGTATGTTCTCCTTTTCTAAAACTTGGGTAGTTTCTTCCACTAAGTTTTATTTTGTGGTCTAATATTTCGTATGTACTAATTAGTATCTAGAACTGAAAATATAGCAAAAGAAGTACTCAGTTCTGTAGGTTTGCATCCCTAATTAACATATATAATTTCTTTCTGAAAAGCGGTAAATGTTTAAACAAAATAAGAATAATTAATCGAAATGATACAAATACGTAGCAGATAAACAAGAAAAATTTGTAGGATGGTAAATCGTGGATGGAGGGCATATTTGGATTTTACGTGATAGACGAAAATCCGTGTGTGTTGTTAGGGTGGTTGACAGGTCCAGGTGCAGTGGAAATTGAGAAATTGGCCTCTGAGCAAGTGATGGATGCATGTTTATATATTTTAGAGCAATTCGTTGGGTGTACATGTAAAGTCCCATCACCGCAATGTGCTATTGTGTAAGAGCCTATAAATTAATTTTAAATATAGCAAAAATAAGTTCAGCAACAATCGTGGGCAAATACAAAGAGTATGCTACTTCTAATAATTCGTAATTTGAAGCTCAAAATGGAACACAAATCCAAATTTTTTGGGTACGTGGTCATATCGCAGTATGGACACCCAAAAATTACAAACTTGTGCTTTGCATTTGGCTGAACCAATTAAAAAAAGGCACAAAAACATCTTGCTATTTGCTGGTGAAGCCACACATCCCTATTATTTTTCAACGGTTCATGGTGCCGTGGAGAGTGGATTTCGTGAAGCTGATCGCATAGCTTCAACTTATTCGTAAGTTGGGAGAATTATACACGTATTAATTCCTAAATTACTAACTTAAGTTAATTCTTTTTGGATCGGAACTTAGATATGAACGTGGGGTAAAGTTCAATACCAGAGTTGAGCTGTACACCTGGAAGAAGTAAACGTTTTCACTTTCAACTACTCAAAAAGGCAATGAAATTCACTATATTACTATACTAATAAATATAGGAACATTACATAAATGTTACCACAATATTTATTCAGCGATAATTACTTTTGTAAATATTTATGATTTTGATTTTTTCGTGTTTCGTACTGGTTGCTTTAACATGTATTAAAGTATTATTTATAATTTTTTAACAAATTTCTTTTTTATGCCATTACGTTGACTTTAAGAAAGAAAAACCACACTAAAATTGGTTTAGAAATACTTGTTTAGGTTAAGATTTACTTTAATGCATAATTACGAACTTACGTAAATAAAAATTGACTAAACGAACTGCTCTCCCCTATGCACCGAGGGTTACTGACTCAGTAATGGCAGTTTCATTGTTATAAACACTTTAGATGCATCTGATTGGGGATTATGTTTCGCGCCTAGTTAACAGCCAATAGGAAATTAGGTCAAATAGCAGTCAGCTGACGGTGGCGCTTATAGTAGAATACGGGGAATGCGGTTGTAAATTAAGTTCATTCATTTTCAAACGCCACCTTATGCATTTATACGTATATGCATGTATTTGAGTTTTGGTAAGGAAACTTAAAAAAATCATAACTTGGGCATTTTTAAATCGATTTTGATGCAGTTTTCACCAAAATATAAAACATTTAGTGGAGGGATACCTAACGATGAAAAAAAATTCGAATAGAACGTGGAATCAAATATAAACATATATTACAAATGATCATTGGGTGCATGAATCGAAGCACAAGGATGCGTAAATATAATTAAAAATCAATTTAAAATTAGTACTTAGTGTTCTGTAAAAGTAAAACGTCGCAGGTAATGCGATTCAATCGATACAAAATATGCCTCGTCAATAGTACTTTTAATGCAAACTCAGAGACAGTGACGTTTTTCAACATTTTTAAGTATAACTTTGGGCTTGTATCTATTCTTTTCCCTTTTCACCCTCCCACAATTGAAATAAAATAATTTTATTATGGAACACTAATAAGAATCTGTTTAATTGTTAATAAAAGTCGAAAACATTAAATACATGTAACAGTCTTTTACAAAAACGTTTCTTAATAATTTTTACTGCATACTCTCGCATTAAAATGTATAAACTTTTAGAGTCGAACCTAAAAGAAAGATAATAATCGTTGGGGGTGGAATCGCTGGTATAAGTGCTGCTTTAACGTTATTAAACCATGGTGTTCAAGACTTTGTTATATTGGAGGCTGATAAAAATTTAGGAGGGCGTATTAAAACGATTTACCACGAGGGCAAACCATTAGAAATGGGTGCCCAGTGGATTCACGGATCTGGGAATACAATATATCAAATAGCCAAAAACCACAACCTAATACTTCCCGAACAATCCCACGAGGGCACAGGCGTGTATGTCAGAAATGACGGTTGTATTTTTGACGAAGATTTGGTTAAATGGGTAGACTTTAGGGTGGGAAAAATTTTAGAAGAATGCGAACACTTTACAGACACTTTAGAGCACCCAAAATCGGTAGGGCATTATTTGAAAAGCAGATTTTCGGAGAATTTGAAAGACATTGACGAAAACTGCGATAAAGGAAAATACTTAGACTTACTTGACTGGCATCTTCGTTTTCAAAACATCGATAATTCATGTGACGATTTGCAGTTTGTATCTGCGAAAGAATGGGGCAAATATTACTGTCCCGATCTCAACGGTCAAGAACACATCAATCTAATGAACGGTTATCAATCCTTGATTGACGTACTTGTTAAAAAAATAGATCCCACAAAGATACACTTACAAACCACAGTGGAAAAAATAAAATGGAAAGACAATAACAATAGTGTGACTGTGACTTCGACAACAGGAAAAACATATTGTTGTGATCACGTACTTGTCACCTGCTCTTTGGGAGTTTTGAAGAGGGATCACGCCACAATGTTTGATCCGCCTTTGCCATTCAATATGAGATCGTCCATAGACGCAATGGGTTTTGATAGTTTGGGGAAAGTTTATTTGGTGTTCGAGAAAAAATGGTGGGACGTTGAAGGATTTCAATTGATTTGGACCAAGGATGCTGTAATGGAAGGGTTAAAAGGTTGGGTCAAACATATCAGTGGAATGGACTCGGTCTACAATCATCCCAATGTGCTTGTAGTTTGGGTTGGAGGAAGAGGGGTGGCTCTTATGGAATCTCTGCCAGCTGAACTTTTGGGGACACACTGTGTAGATTTGCTAAGGGTGTTTCTTAAAAAGCGTGACATTCCTTACCCTATTAAAGTGATCAGGTAGGATATAATTAAATAGTGGTATTAGTTTTCTCCATTTTTTTTTACGAAACACTACATTCAATTCTTCAATTTCGTTATCTTTTTGGAATCATTCTCGTAGTAGTCAAATTATGACCTTTTCAATGTATTAATTAATGTGTTTTTGTAGAATTTCTTTTGGAAAATAGTTTAGGAAAAGTTTTGAAAATTCCTTGTTGTATTTTATTATTATGTACAGATTCTCATGTATACTTCAAAAGTATTTACATTTTGCTCCCATACACTTGCAGTTTTTATAATCACAACTGATTATGTATCTACACTAAACTAATTGTTACCTCTAAACTTATCTTCTATAACCCTAATATATTCACAAATTTCGTTACATACTTCACCTTTTAATGTTTCAACTATCAACTCCCACATGTCATTCTCTCTCCTATCTCCTTTCCATTCCTTTATAAATTCTCTTATTTCCTCTCTTTGAATCTTTATTGCTATTCCACAACTAAATAAATGCAGTAATGTTTCCTTAATGCCTCCACATAATCTACATTTCCAATCTCTGAAACCCTTTTTGTGTCCTCTCCAAACGTTACCACATCTAATTCTCGCCCATATTTCTTTATTCTCTTTCTTTTTATACTTCTTATTCGGATATTCTGCCCCATTAACATCCGGGATAATTTCCCTATACATCTTATTGTAAGACGAAAATTCCTTGTTGTATTAAACTGTTATTGTTTTTCTTTCATATTCTGGAAAAGCGAAAAGAATTAAATACTTTTCTTTAATTTAATACATTTTGAAGTTTCCACTTGAATGAAAAGTAAATGTACTTTCTCCAATGTGTTTGATTTTGATATAAATTCCTCATTTTTATTTCATTAAAAGTACATCATGTTTAATTAATGTCAACCTTCTATTTAATTCATATCGAGATCGAGCCCTTTTATTTAAATTTTTTTCCAAAATTTCCTCTTTTATTAAAAAAAAATCTTTCCCTTTAACTCTCTTGTACTCATTTTCTGGGATTTTTTTTACGAAAAATACGAATGAATTTTTTTTCTGTAACGCATTCGTATTTTAATACATTTTTCCGTTTCATTAGGAGCTGTTGGCTTAGCAACCGTAGGGTCGGAGGTGGTTACAGTTACTCAACCCCAGAAAATGACGATTCCAATAAAGACAGATCCCAACTTTTGAAAGCGGCTTTAGAAGGGGATATCCCAAGAATTTTACTCGCTGGAGAAGCTGTTCATTTGACCTATTTTTCTACAGTTCACGGGGCCTTTGAGTCCGGAAGATCGCAAACGGAGAAACTTCTTAATTACTTAAAAGCATACAACAATGTTTGTCCAAAACAAATTAATATATAATCTGGAGTAGACTGTAACTGGCATACCTCAACCAGCCCCACAAAAAAAATTGTAAAAATAAAAACATTTTATAAAATACTGTCTCTTATTCAAAACTGACACTTCCTTTTTGAAAATTTGCTAAAAATAATTAAGTGAATGGGGTAAACGTGTTACGTAATGCACCTGTTTGTTTATAACTAGATAATTCTACAAAAAAATAGTCGTCACATCAGTTTGGAAAGCAAATAAATAGGTAAGTAAAATTTAATTACTTATGCTTTCAAGTTTATTGTTTTAAATGATTTGTTTAATTATAACTGATGAAAAATATTTTTCTTTAAATATGTAAAAGGAAGAATTTTAAAAGACCCTTAGACGAGGGTTCTAAATTACAGCATTTTTCTATGCAATATGCAAATGTAAACAACATCAGCATGTAAAATACAAGTTACATTTTAATCGTGGGACATTATCATTAATTTTTAATAGACTATTTAAAATTGCATAGCTACATACGGGTTATAATACGTAATTTTCACCTTTACTTTACTTTACACTTTTAGAATTTCAAAAGTCATGGCAAGAAGTTCTGCTTCTCTCAATTGTTTCAAATGCTTCACATTTCCTTTATCAATTTTTTATCGTTATGATCATGTAAATCCACAATTATCAAAAATATACAGGGCTACGTTTTTAACAGTATCTTCGTTAACTCTTTTGGTATCTGTGTTATCAACAATTTTGTATGTGAAGCAAATAACAATAACGTCGAAGGAAAACTTAGAAGGTTTAGTAATTGCTTTAAGAGAACTTCTACTAACGGTATATATCACCATTATGCTAATTTTATTAATTATCAAACGAAAACAAAACATTCTGGATATAATTTCATTGGGGAATACATACTCAACTAGTTGGAACTTCTCTAATCGAAAATCTCTTTGGAATAAAAATATGTTTACACTGGTTTTTGTAATCGTTACTTTTGCCATTTGCAAATCGATCATAATATTAAGAAGAATCAAAGAAGAGAGTTTCGAAAATAGTACAATACTTTGCATCGGCTCTTTAATTTGTCGTTTATATGAACATTTGATTTTAATTATTTGGATTCTCTTGACGTTAGCATATTCTGTTTTATTTGAAAAATGTTTTGAGGATATTTATCGCACTTTGCGATATAAATCTAGAAATGTTCCTGTAGGAGGAATGATAAGGAATCATTTATAAGTGTACAACTGTCTTACAGTTCATTATAAGATGATTGGTACAGAAATAAGTGTATTTTTAATGACTGCCCTTTGTATCTATACTGCTACATTTATTTTGAACACGTATCGGTGTATGATGCAATTAATTGAAAATATTGATTTTATTTATGGAAACTGGGAAACGTTTGATACCTTCTATATTTTCCTTGCGTATATAACAGCCGATAAAGTAAAAAATTCAGTAAGTTTTATTAAAATTCACTGATTAAATTGGTTAATTGTTATTGTCGTATTTTAGAGTTACAAAATTTTAATATTTTTATTTAAATTTCCTCTTAATAGGCTAACAATTGTTGAACAAATGGAGGTAAGTTGTTTTACAACTAGGTGTTTTTATCAACAAATAATTACGTTTCTATCAACAAAAAAAGATTTAATTTTTCAGGTGAATGAATTAATTTTCAGTTTAGTTTATAATAAACCTTTTCACAAAGTTTTTGGGATATTTAATTTTGACTGTAGGACCACCTTGACGGTAAGTAAATAAAATTCAAAATAATTAACGATTTTTTAATGCAAAACTGATTATTATTTATTTTATTTGTAGATAGCAGCATTTACTATAACTTATACTATTGTTGGATTGCAATTATCCTTTTAGAACTACCAATTAATAAAAATAAAAATGGGCTAAATGTATTAATATTCCAACAAGAATTCAACCCCTGTATTTTTTAAATGTTTTAAATCCAAGTGTTAAATGTTAAATAAACAAGTGGTCATACTTACACAAAAATTAAAGATTGAATGTAAAGTTTGTTAAAAAAAGTTTAATGACAAATAACACGTATAATTTAGGATTGTTTGTTAAATAAAATCAAAACGTTTTATATAGGTACTATTAAAATTAGATTTTTTTAAAGTTTTCGACATACAAATTATGTTTTTCGTAGTATTTGGTAATTTGGTGAGAATTATTTTATGTATTTTATACAGAGCATGTTTAAAAGAAAGAAATGCGATGCTGGGTTTGAATCACAAGTAGATTTTCTTTAGAACGTATTTGAAAAATTAATTCGCGCTACTAAGAATTAAAGAAAGCCTGTAGTGTTTTCCAAGTACTCCTTTAGCTTCATAAAAAGTCCAAAAGACCTAGAGCGTTTTAATCAAGTAAATATTCTACTTTACTTAGTACTTGTATTTTTAAAACGAAATAGAAGTTTATATAAATTGTTTTTGATCGAGGAAGGTTTCTTTTGAATTTAGGAAAAGAAGACAAATAAAAACGACTGTTTATGAACTTATTTAAAACTGAAAAAGCAATAAATTCGGAAATAATTATCACCTCCAAAGGTTCTCAGTAATTAACATCTCTCCTGCTCAATTAAGGAACAGGACCTGTTCTTTATTTTAAAGAAAAGTACCCCAAAAAAAACGGTTCCTTTATCTGAACATACAAAGAGGCATAGTACCCAAAAAAAAAAAACGGTTAAAAGGCATATAAATGGATGTGATGTAAATTTCTTTATTTTTTGCAATGCTTCTGTTTGTAACTCTTATTCTGATTAAAAATAACGTTAAATACAATAAACTTAACAAAATATATTAAACATAATATAGTAAATGTAATAAGTACTGCGGAAAATATCTTTTTATAAAATTTGATGTATATAAAACTTGTAGACATACGACAGCAAAACGAAAGTTTTTAAGTTCTAAATTTTACGAGTTTCAAACTTTCCATTTTCGTTTAACTGAACATTGTTACTGTTTGTGAGATTCTGCGATGGAGAAAATTCATCTTTGACTTCTTTTGATAAACAGTGATAATATGTACAAGTCATTAAAAATATAACTGCGATAAGGATTGTCACGCATCCTATTACCCACTTTGATATATACCCTACTTTGTATAAGAACAAGGCACCTTTTACATTCTCCTCTACATTATCCTTAGCTTTTACGGCCTGAAAATATTTTCAGAATTATAATAAACTGTTTAAGAATAATGATTAAAACCGTATAATTTTTCTTACCATTTCATACCAACCCAACGGAAAAACTATATATTCTGTAACATTTGATAAATATTCGAATTCTGATATTCTTACAACTTCAGTGTTCAATTGGAGTCTGATACAAGCTTCTAAAGGTGTCGAAGTTATCTATGGAATATTGATAACGAGTAAATATAACTGATATAATTTGTGTGAAAAAACAAAGGAGAATAACAGAATTCCTTAATTATCCTACGTGGAAACCTTCAAAATTAAATAAATAGTCTGTAAAGATAACTGTTTACTGTGGGCTATTGTCTTTGAATAATTTAACCAATTCAAAAGGCCTCAAAGTCAACCAGAAAGTGTAATCCTTCACTTTTCTTTGTCTTGTTTTTGTAAGGAACTTTGCTACTTTGAAACAAGCCAAGGATCTTTGTAGGAACGCATGGTATTAAAGTAAAAAGAAGGATTTTCTTACCGGATCAATCTCAACATAAGATTCGTGCCGAGATTTTTCAGGTGTTAAGCCTTCGACTTTATCAACTAATAAGTGATGAGAGAGGTAAAAGTGTGGCGGAGATACCAGTATAGAATAATCGATGCAAGATTTGATATCGATTAGTCCTGGCAAGGGACATCTCGGTGACGTACCGTTCTCGTGGCTGTACAATTTGGGACAGTAACAATCCAAGTTTGACACATCAGATTCTTTATATGAAAAACGAATCGTGTCGACGGCATTCACTTTACTTTCACGTTCGTATGAAAGATGCATGTGTCTAAAATTTCGAAAAATATAATTGCCATTACTCCAGGAACATTTTATTTAATATTAGGGGATTCCTGCTACACAACATGAAGTCGCAACATGCAAATCATGTGCAGCTGCCGCTTGCATTACGATGAGGCAGAAGTAGAAACTTAAATAACTACTGACTACTGACATTTAATATTTTACTCTGACCACCAACGATCAAAGTTTGACCGTTCGTATTTAAGAGGTAACAAAACTATTGACTAGTAATATACAAGCCTGATACAGACGTACGTGCATATTTCAGGTAAAAATATGTCGATTCCCTTTTCTTTTTCTAACGGTTTCGGGAAAAACCAACCGTCACTACCCTTAATTATTCTACACTCCCCTGTCCAAGCGTTTAATTCGTTATCAAATTCGTATTTTATCAGCGTTCCTCTCTTTGTAAGATTATCTTGTCCAGTGTACATTTCAAATGGACCATCAATGCTTCCATTTGTCTAAAATTAGAGCTCCAGTTCAATTTCCATTTCATTCACTTCTATAAATATTATTATAGAAATCAATATCAGTTCGGGAACAAAAAACCAATTTAATATCACAACCGACACCCCAATTTCGCTTTGATGTCTATAATAATAAGATGTTTGACTTTACTTTTCATAATTCTTGATAAAAACGGAACAACTCTCCGTCGAACTTCCAATGTAACTTACCATAAGTGACACAACATAATCCATCCCATTCGGCGCTGGTCTCAAGTTTTTTATTTGTATCAGTCCCAACAACGAACATAACCATTCTGAAGTAAACATTATTTAGTCTTTAAATTTGTTAAAGAAAACAAAAATACAATTAAAAGAATATCTGTAGTTTTCTTGAAAACAGCAAAAGTATAATTCTACTTTACTCAATTAATTAAAAACTTACGTAATTTTATCAGTATAATTAATTCAACTGATTATTTTTGTTCAGAAACTTGCCTGTCTCCTCGTGCTCACAATGCAACGTTATACCGTCAAAAACCATGTTCTTAACGGTTTCTCTTAAAAAAATATCGTGCAAAGAAGGATATAAAAAAGGAAGGGTTTTAGATAGATCTGGAAGCATTTGAGGCACGAACTCGTGTAATGCCAATGCAGAACTCTAAAATTTGAAAAGAAAGGAACACCATGTAAACTACCTGCATTCGGTAATTTTTGAGATAAAAAACAGTTTACCATAAGAGCTATGTTGAGAACTGTTAGACGATCGGTATCTTTGCCAATTGATTCGATTTCATTGAAGTAGTAAGTTTTTTTCCTGAAATAATCCACCGAAAAATCTGCCGGGTTCTCAGAAATATCAATGTGTTCAATTTTTACGCTAGAAGTATGTGAAAAATGTTTATTCAGATTGGTTTCTACTCGTTTTGCAACTTTGTTTCTTACTCATAAACGTATGGTCCGACTTGTCTAAGAAAAGGCGTACCTCCATTCTCCACTTGTTCTGGATTTGTAACGTTAAAAAAATATATTTTGAATTTACTACTTGTTGAATCGTATGGCGTTTTCCAACTTTCAAATACCGGTGTACTTTTTACGACTACAGATTTCTAGGAAATATATAAAAGATAAAGAGGACCCAGGACTTTTTATTAATGATGATTTTATAAAGTCTTTAAGAATGATTATTAATGTTAAAAAATACCTTTAGGTGTGCTTAGAGAGAGAGAACCTTATCGGTACAATAAGTGAAGTAAAACTAACATAATTTTTTTGATAACTTAAACAGGAAATTACTGTTAATGTAATGAATATGACTCCTTAAAATTAATCCTGTTATCGTTATAAACCACGTACCTTATCAACTATTCCATCTAAATACTCTGGAACTATATACCAGCCGGCAAAACAAGCCAAAAAAGCTACATTTAGAATTACAAAAATGATGACAAAATGCGACTTCATTTTCGACCTCTTACTTTTTAATTTTAAATATGTAACAATGAATAGCAGTATATTAAAAATAATTGAATATTGTTTTCGGAACGTGTTTGTTGGCAAAATAATCTAGAGACATAATCGAGATTAAACACGACCGCAGCAAATTACTTACTTACTTACTTACCTTATTTTGTAATTTACCGTAAATATTAACATTGCTGGGTACGTTAGTTGAAATATTTCTACTATTTAAAATAATTCACGTTACATATGTCGATGTTGTTCTTTTTCGAACGAACGAATTCGCGTATAGATTCAAAATAATTAGTTCTTTTATTAATAAAGTTAATTGTAAAAGAAAAAAAAGATTTGTAACCGAGAACAATTTTGGTGAAGGCGCCGGGGCAATTTAAACTAAGTTTATAATTGAGCTACAATTTCGGTTCTATTGGAGTAAATTGATGAATTTTCATCTTTAAATTATATTTTAAATGTAGACACAGTTAGGGATGCTACTTTATATTTTTCTTTTTAGAATTAAATTATTTATAATTTGTAATATAATATGTAGGCAACCCAACATACAGAAAATATTACAA